GCGGGAGGCCTCGTCAAAATGCAGGCTCGGCCTCGTCATTTTTTTGACGACCTCGTCGGGGATTTCCGAGTCCCCTGTACCCAGGTCTTACGTCCCCCTGACAGGAGGAATACTTAGTACAGATAGGATCTGGGGACTATTTTTGAGTATTTTTCGGACCATGTCGGAGTAGTTCTGGACTATTTTTATTTGTCCTCCAAAACCCACCTGTAGGAGGCAGGCCCGACTGAAGCCTAGAGGTTGACGCCAACACCAATGTCGGTGGTGTGCCTTCACCGAGGGAAGAAAACCCCGATCTCGGTGATGGTGGTACTATTCTGGCTTCCGAGGTGACCGAAATAGTACCACCAACACCGGAATCTAGGATCATCTTCCCCCTGTGGAGGCAACCCCCCGTGTTGGTGTTGGTGTCCCTTTCCAGGCCTCCACTGCGTGGACCCTGCCGAAAGAGGCCACCCCTGTGCCCTGTGCCTCGCGACCCGTGCCTCCTGCATTCCTGCGGCACCGTGGCCCCTGGAGGGGCCTTCGTGTCCTCCCGCGCGGCCTCCCCCAATCGAGCCCGACGGCGTGCGAGCTCCTCGCCTTCGGCAGCTGCACCCCCCCCGCAGCGGCTCCCACGACGGGAGCCCCTCCGCGGAGAGCCCCACCGCGGAGCCCTTCGAGGGTCCTCCGCGACCCTGCCGGGCGGCGCTCGCGGGCCCTCGGCGGCACGGCCTCGCGGCGCTCGCCGTGGGGGCCTCGCGTGGCCGCGCGCTCTCTCTGCGAGAGGGACGCCGCCTCGCCCGTCGAGCTCCGCCCGACGACCCCCCCCCCCTCCTCCTCCTCCTCCTCCTCCTCCTCCTCCTCCTCCTCCTCCTCCTCCTCCTCCTCCTCCTCCTCCTCCTCCTCCTCCTCCTCTATCTCCTCCTCTATCTCCTCCTCCTCCTCCTCCTCCTCCTCCTCCTCGTCCTGCCGGCGGCTCCGGCGGGGGTGTGCGTCTCGCTGCCCTCTCGCGTGCTCTGCCGCTGTCCTCCCGATCGCTCAGGGATGGATGGGAGCACAGGGAGGCTGGAAAGAGTGGCCGGGGCCAGCCCTTCCACTCTTTCCACCCCTGGCCGGTTTTCCTTTAATTTTTGCAGCCCTGGCGACCTCATCCTAGTTTCTTCTTCGTGCTCGTCGCAGCCCTTGCTGGTTTTTCCGACCTTGGCCACTTCCACTTTGACGTAATTCCCAACTTACACTTTTCCCAGGCCGTTTGTAATCGCACCAGAGGTCTTTCCTCAGTGTTTGGCCTTCCCCAGACTCTCAGCGGGGAGGTGTCCTGGGGCCCATTTTAGAGTTTACTTTTAGAAATACATTTGCAAGCTTCCTTGCATGGATGGGGGCCGGGGCTCTCGAGCGAGCACCTCAGGCAAAGCTGGAGATTCGTTTCAAAAGTTTGCAACAGTTTCAGGACGAAGGGCGGGTGGTTTTCAAACTGTGGCTGTTTCCTTAGCGCCGCGTCGCTGTAAAATATTGCAACAGTTTCAAGGATTGAGGTTGGGTTGTTTCCAACATGTGGCTCTCGCATCAGTACCGTGCAAAACCGTTTTCAAAGAGAGCAGCAGCGTGAGGATGGAGGACGGTTGGATTTCAAAACTGTGGCTCTCTCTTCAGCGCCGCGTGTATGCGTTTTAGAAGTTTGCAGCACGTGTAAGGATTCATATGATTGCAGTCCCAGAAAAGGTGTTCTGGTGCGGTTCAGGATTGTCAGGACGCAACCGTCATGTTGATCCGCGGTGCTCAAGTCACAAGAACAACTTTCTGACACGATTTGTGATCGTCAGGACGTATTGATTCGCGGCGCTGAAATCTCAGGAACGTGTGTTTCGCGCGGCTTAGGATTGTCAGACTTTCAGACTGTTGGCTTTCGATGGGGTGCTTCCCGCAGTGGGAAAAACTCTTTGTATGGACTTGTGAAGAGGGAACTTGAAGGGGGGGTTTGTTGCAACCTCGTTGAGGCATCTTGGGTTTGCACTGCTCCTCCTCCTCCTTATTCTCCTTCTTCTCCTCCTCCTCCTCCTCCTCCTCCTCCTCCTCCTCCTCCTCCTCCTCCTCTCTCGCAAAGGAACAACCAAAAGGATGAAACCCCAGAGGCCCCGAGAGGCGGGAGCCGTAAGCTCGACGCCTCCACGCGCGCCAGCGCGCGTGGGGGGAGAGGGGTCTGACCGTCGTCGTCGTCGTCGTCGTCGTCGTCGTCGTCGTCGCCGTCGCCGTCGCCGTCGCCGTCGCCGTCGCCGTCGCCGTCGCCGTTGTCGTCGTCGCCGTCGCCGTCGCCGTCGTCGTCGTCGTCGTCGTCGTCGTCGTCGTCGTCGTCGTCGCGGTGGTGGCCGTGGTTGTCCCTGCTCTCCCGATTTTTGTTTGTGTCATTCTTTCTGTTCTGGAGGTCCCTGTGTGCTTCTGTACCGCCGTGTCCCAGACCGCGGGTAAGCCCCGACCCCGTCCGCCCTCGGCCGAGAGGGGCAGCCGAACGAGTGCGACGGGCGGAGCGAGCGAAAGGCCAGCGCGCGAGCGAAACTGTGTTTTGGCGACTCCGTGGACCGCCTCCGTTTTGATGCCGCTCTGCAGCCAGAGGCGGAACGGAGATAGAACGAGAACAGCGTTAGGTTTCTGTGGGGCAGTTCGAGCGAGTTCGACGGAGTTCGAGCGTGCATCCAGCTCTCGCCCAGGCCGGCTACGTCGTGCGCATCCAGCTCCCTGGCAAACTCTCGAGGATTTCTTGGGCCGCCCTGGGTCACCCCAGCCCCAGGGGACAGCGACGGCAGAACGAGAACGGACAGCACCGTTCAGCTCGAGCCTTGCAGGAGGCACCAGCGTTATGGCCCCTCACCTCGTGCGCTCTTACCGCTCTCGACCCCGCTCCTCCCCGCGCCAGCCCCTCGCTCCGGAGAAGAGCTTGACGACGACGACGTCGACGGCGACGACGACGACGGCGACGACGACGACGGCGACGACGACGACGACGACGACGACGGCGACGACGACGACGACGACGACGGCGACGACGACGGCCCACGGGGCCCGAAGAGCGGGCGCCGGGGCCGCTGTTGGGGGCTCTCAGGGGGCGGGGGGTCGGTGCAGACGGGGGTCAGCCAGGCCGCGCCGGATCCTGCAGGATCCTGCAGGGCGTCGACGACGGCGACGACGGCGACGACGACGGCGACGACGACGACGACGACGACGGCGACGACGACGACGACGACGTTGACGACGACGGCGACGACGACGACGACGACGAGGACGACGACGACGACGACGACGACGACAAGGACGACGACGACGACGACGACGACAACGACGGCGACGACGACGGCGACGACGACGACGACGACGACGACGACGACGACGACGACGACGACGACGGCGTTGACGACGGCGACGACGACGACGACGACGACGACGGCCCACGGGGCCCGAAGAGCGGGCGCGGGGACGCTGTTGGGGCTCAGGGGACGGGGGATCGATGCAAGCGGGGGTCAGCCAGGCCTCGCCGGATCCTGCAGGATCCTGCAGGGCCGGGGGCGGACTGACCACTCCAGATTTCCTAATAAGAGGGAGGGGGTCTGGACCCCCCAAGACAAGCCATTTCAGACCCCCCCCCGTGGGAGAACCCTCCAGAACATCGTCCCCAGACCCCCCCCAGGCCCTCCAAGATAGCCTGGAAGAGACCCCCCCCGAAATGAGACCCCCCTCCCTTTATTACGAAATCTGGAGTAGACTGACTGCCCCAGATTTCGTAATAAAAGGGAGGGGGGTCTCGTTTCGGGGGGGGGTCTCTGCCAGGCTATCTTGGAGGGCCTGGGGGGGTCTGGGGACGATGTTTTGAGGGGTTCTCCCACGGGGGGGGGGGTCTGAAATGGCCTGTCTTGGAGGGTCCAGACCCCCTCCCTTTTATTACGAAATCTGGAGTAGGGTTAGCGCGCAGGATCATGCGGGGTCCCGCAGGATTTTCTGCAGGATCCTGCCAGGGCCTGGCTGACCCAGGTTTGCACCGACCCGGGTCAGTCGATCCCCGACGCTGGCGACGCCGGGAGACTTCTGGCGCGGCCTCGTGGAGTCGCCAGAGGTCTGTGCCGCCGCCGCCGCCGTCGGCGTCGTCGTCGTCGGCGTTGCCGTCGTCGTCGTCGTCGTCGTCGTCGTCGTCGTCGTCTTCGTCGTGGTCGTCGAATATTCATTCCTAGAGAAGTATTATTGCTGATCTCCAGAGCGGGCTTGCCCCGACGCGGGCTACATCTTTTCAGAAAAAGGGTTCTCGTTGGAGCGCGGATTTGGTTCCAAATCCAGATGTTTTTTGAAGCCCCAACTGCGACGACAACGGCTCCCACTCGATACCCCCTAACAATTTACTCTGAGACGCCCCCGCTCAGAAAGGCCCCAAGATTCAGGAACTGCGCTGTGTCCCGAGACGTCCTCGCACTGCAGTCAAGCTGGTGAAGGCCCAGCTACGACGACAACGGATCCCGCTCGACGTCTCCTTCCAATGTACTTCGATACGCCCTCAGACTCAGGAAAGGCGCTCTCGCCCGCACTCAAGTTGGTGAAGGCCCAGCTGCGACAACAACGGCTCCTTCTCGATACTTTCTCACAACTTATTCCAGGACGCCCGAGCTGCCCGCGGGCGCGCCAGCTCGCACTACGGCCATGGCGGCGCGGTGCGTATACAGAGTGCGCTGCTGAGTGCTTCTCCCAGGTGCTGGCATGAGAAGAAGCCCACCCCAAACGGGGGTGGTTCATAGATTTGGCGGGCGGGCACAAGGGAGAGGGAGAAACACACGAAGGCCAAAGCTGTTGTTTTGAACCGCATGTTCGAAACAGTGTCGCCGTTGCTGTCGCCGCCGCGGACGTCGCAGTGGTGGCGGTGGTCGTCGTGGTGGTCGTGGTCGTCGTCGTGGTCGTGGCGGTGGTGGTCGTCGTCGTGGTCGTGGTCGTGGTGGTGGTCGTCGTCGTGGTCGTGGTCGCCCCCACCGCGGCGCCCGCGGCAGGGGCGTGGCCATGCGCGCGGGGCACCACTGCTGCCAGCCCCTCCACAAGCAGCTCGGGGTGACCGCGAGCGCCCGCGTGTCCGC